CCTTTTACTAGTTGCATCATCTATCATGTATCTTACATCCAATTTATTCCAAGTAAGATACATCCTTTACAAGTATAATCATCATTCTCTTACTTTTAACTTTTCATGAACTTCATCATTTGTTTCTTCCCCTTTTTCTTGTGGTTTGGCAATTGTGAGTAGATAAGCAATGTCTAAAATGGTTAGGAGTATGTGCATCTTTTGTTGTCATCTTATGAAATTTTCTCAATCAAAATGTTCTAGTTTTTAGAAATTTGTTGTGATTTCCCTTAAGAAATTATAATTCTCTTTCTTGTAATAAAATTGAAGGGAAATTAAGCCAAAAGATTGATATTGTAGAAGATGAGTTGCACTAATGGTGTAGTTGATTGGTCTTCTAAGATTTGTGGCAATTCCAAGATAAAAAATTGAATGTAAGAGGAAAGGGCTTCAAGATGTGCTGCAAATGGCACTTTTCTTTAGGTTTATATCACCCTTACCAGTCACAACATACAAATAAGGGTTGAATCAACCTTAGGATACAATGAAACCTTATTTCATATCATATTGCACTTGTGAAATCAAACCACTAAACACCTTTGATGAAGGATCAAAAATATCTTTCTTATTCATGATTTTTTGCAACAAATAATGTCAAAGATACTTGCTTCTTTATTAAGAATAAGAGTGGAAAGTAATGATTATTTTATAATCTTTTTCATTATCCTTTTGAACTTTTTGTTATTTCTATTTATAAAGACTAAATTTAAGAGTTTTAATTCTTCGATTATGTTGATTTAATAAATCGATTTATCTTTTTAGCAATTCACATATTTTGAAACTTAATTGGTGCCAGTGGCAACCATTTACAAGTGAAAGATCACCTTGTGAAAAAGGTTAGAATTCAAGTAAAGAAAAACTAACTATTATAATAGAAATTCACGACTTTTACATGAAGACAATCAAATGATTGTGGAAGAGATTCGGCTTCTTCTTTATAATTTTGGTTCCATAACACTTTTTTAGATCTAGAAGTCGATTATCCTATCAAGAGCATTCGATTGCCTTAGTGTAATTTTCAAATAGAATGTTTTATTGATCCTTGCATTCAACTTCCTTTTCTAAGGCATTCAAATACCTTAATGTTATAATTTGAAACAAAATGAAATTCCAGTCATGAGATTTGATTTCTATTGTTATATTAGTGATTCAATTGCTTAACTTTTCCTGACATGGAAATCAATTGCCCTTAGTAGAGAAGTCAATTATCATTGAGTAAATTTCTAACAAAATCAAATTTATCATATGGCATTCAAATCCCATGCATGGGCATTCGACTACCTATACTAGAAGTCTTCGAAATTGATTCTTTCCTGTCTTAAATCAATTTCCTGAGCTATATTATAACTTTTATTCTAGTTTTTTAAACCTTTGATTAAACATCATGCTTAATCAATTATCATTCACTATATTTTGAAAATATTCCAACAAAAGAGAGGGCAGATTGACGGCAAATTTGGCAAGCCCAAAGGCATATCAAGGCCAACCTTCCCTTTCTTCCTTTTATTCCCCTAGCCCTTTTCCTTTTCTCTTCCTTCTTTTTCATCTTTCCCTTTACTCTTTTTTTTTTAATTTTTAATTTTTCTATTTCTTTTGTTTCATTTTTAATCTTTTTTTATTTTTAATGGCAAAAAAAATCTTTTTCATTTTTATTTTAGAATTGAAAACTAAAATATTTATCTTTTCTTTTTCAAATTTCCAAAGTTTTTTATTTTTAAATTTCAAAAATAAAAATTTTAAGAAAAGGTTTTGATTTTTATTTTCAAGAATAAAATTGCTAACACCAAAACAAATATATCTAAGGGGACATTTGGTTTAGGCGAATTTGAGTTTTTCCCCTGGAATCTTACTTGTGAGAATGTGATTCCCATGTTTGTTTCACAAGTATTTGATTCCTAAGGGTAATTTAAGATTCCCAATAATACTTAAATATCCCATAATTAGAAACTAATATTTTCCTATAGTTTTTAAAATTTCAAGGAGAAAAGTTAATTTTGTACCACATTTGACTTTAATAATAAATTTTTTTAGTTTATTTTATGCTTGAAAATCAACGTAATTGCATACCCATTCTAATATGAAAATGGGCATTCATAGCTATATAATTTGGCAAAGATACAATCCTAATCACAAAATTGGACACTTGGCACTAAAAATGACCAATAGAATATTATATATATAAAACCAACATTTTTAATGAAACAAATGTAGTGGATAACTTCAATTTTTGGTTTTTGAAATTTTTTTATATTAGAAAACACTACATTTTTTATAAATGAAATGTAGTAGATGAATTAAATAATAACAAAAAAAAATAGATATTTTTTTTTATCAATGACGTTTCTTATATTAAAAACATAGTAATTTATATAATATTATAAAATAATATTTCTAACCATTTTTTATGTAAAAAAAGTTGTCTTTAATAATAAAGACCACGTTTTCTTAACTAGAAATGTACTCTTTAATAACGAATGCCACATTTTTTGAACTAGAAACATAGTTTTTGAAAAAAAAAAAAAAAAAACTATGTTGTTGACATAAGAAATGTGATTTTTTTTTTCTTATGTTAGGAAGAAATTAGCTAAAAATCAACAATTAGAATGAGACTAACCACCAAGGACTTGATAATAAAGTCATTAGCTAACAAGTACATAGTTTCATTAAAGCCTAAGAGATAATAAGGTAATTATCTCTGCAATTTCATGCCATCGAAAAGAGCAGACAATCTTCGATTCTAATGTAAGCTCCCTTTAGCTTCCTTAATAGCTTGAGTCATTTTCCATCCAAGATTATAGAACTCATATATCACATACTATACGCATCTTGTAAAACAAACTTTTCAATAACCAGCACTAAACTCTCACAAAGCATCAATTCATACAAGAAAATCTAAAGATTGTTGACCTACCATTGCCATTACTTTTTCTCATATAACGCATAAGGAAAGCTAAACAAACTCATATTGACCTATGCTACAAATCACCTTATTCAATCTATATACAATCTAAAACTAACTCCAATTTACAGAGTAAACTTATTTACAGGAGCTGAAAAGCCCCTTCATTCTTTTCAATCATCAAAGTTGTCAAGATTGAGAATGCGATGTAAAGTCTTAGTCGCCGAGTCAGCACTACAAAAAAGTTATCAATTAACAATTTTTTATGTTAAAAATGACATTTTTCAAGGAAGAAATGTCATCTTTATATCAAAGATTACGTTTGTACATTTATAAATGTAATCTTTAATTAAAGTCAAAGATTGCGTTTTTTCCTCCAAAAATATAATCTTTAATAAAAAGCAATCATTTAATTAAATGAAATTAGGTGATTTAGATTTTTTAAACATTGCATTTATTTTCATAGAAACATAGTGTTTGATATAAACATTGTGTTTATATAAGAAAAATATAATTTTTGATTATATTTGACTATTTATTTTTTTTAATAACAAAAACATAGTTTTTGACTATACTTGATTTCTTTTTTTTTTTTGGTCAAAAACTATATTTATATTTAATAAAAACTTGTTTTTTACATGTAATAAAGTATATTACAGCAAAAAAATTTTATTAAATAATCTAAATTTCTCTCAATCAAATATAAAAATCTAATATTTTCATGCTAGGAAAAATTATCTTTTGCCAGAAATTCACATTTTAACAGAGATTATTTTTTTTTCGAAAATCTAAGATTTTCATGAACTAAATGTTTTTAAAAATATTTATGAGTTTTTTTATTTTTTTTCATGTACGGCGGAATGGAATGCTAATCAATTTAAACAACCTGAATCTGAATTTGTAAAACTAAAATCATTACCTTAAAAATAATATATGCGATTACCAACAAGATTTAGGCAAAAATTAAGTAACATGAATACAAAAAGACCAAGATGATTTACCGTGTGCCACAGATTCTGAATTTATATAATAAATATAAATATAAATATATATATATATATATATATATATATATATAGAAAATGGATCTTAAATGGCTAAAGCCATAGAACAGAGTTAGTTGTACAAAGAAGAAAGATATTAAAAAAAGTTCCAATCCACTAAAAGTGCATGATGCTAGCCAATGAAATTCTTTACTTGAACAGAGTTTGGCAGTGATGGATGTAAAAGCCAGGGGAAAGGACGGCCAATCTGCCAGACTGCTCTTATGAAAAAACTATGCGAGATGAAATTGCATCAAAGACATATTGCGCAAGCCTATGTACTCTGTCAGAAAACATGGGGCGGGAGGAATATGGATACGTACTACTATGGGCATTACAAAATCAACGAGCCAAGTTGAACCTACCCATGTTATCACCTTTATTAGCACACAGTTTTAAAAAGTTACTTTAGCATTCAACATCACAATGATGGTACATGTTCCGAGGCCAACTTTTGTTTCTTCCATATAACAATTTGTTCGTTTGTGTAGTTTTTTTAAAATTTTTCTTTGCTGCCACTCGCTCGGTAGCAGTTGTTACCGTTAAGTCATTTGTGAATTTGTATTATGTTCGTTTTAAAAATAAAAATTACATATTAATTTTATTTTGGCATATTAAATATAAAATATATTTTATTTTATTAAATTATATAATTTAATTAAATATTTTAATTTTTTTATCCTTTTTATATTGCATCAGTGTATTTAAATGTAAATAACAATTACGGCCTCACTCATCATAAATTTTTTCAATCTTTGTTAAAATGTGTCTATCACGATCATGTGGACTTCATATCAAGTGGTATAATTGAATTGATGGTGATGATTATGTGAATAATCAAATTTATCTTTCATCTTTTAACAACTTATACGTAAATTTAATTTGATTTAAAACTAAAAATTAAAAAGTATTTGCTTTAACAAATTAAATCAAATAAAAATCAAACAGATCAATGTTGCCACTTAGTTTCCGCTCATGCTGTGAAAATAACTGATGAATAGCAACCAACCCTAGACAAATAGGAAGCAACACGAGAATGCTTATCATTAAACAGAGTCAACATGGTGTTAGTCCGCACGGTATTATTACAAAACACAGCGTATTGACATGTACTAAAGATAAAGCCACGTGACAGAAGATGCACAAAACAGAGCATATTTGCAAGTTCTCTTATGTCCAACAAGTATGCAATAAAACAGGTGAAAACATACAAGATTTTATCATCATCATCTAGTAACCTCCCTGTATGTAAGCATTCAAGCGATCCAACTCCGCACGGTGTTCAATCACCACAGCACGAACAACATCTCCAATGGAAACCATACCAACCATTCCCTTCTCATCAATCACTGGAATGTGTCTGATCCTGTTATCTGCCGTAATACCATAGATTACAACTAGCTTGACAACGAACAGCCCAATGAAAACCAAAAGCAAATGTCCTAGATGCAGCAGATTATACCTGTCATCAATTGCATTGCTTGCAGAACTTTGGTCTCAGGTGTGACCGTAATGAGCTTGTTCTACAACCACCATACAATAGAATCTTAGAATTGCAAATACAAGCAGTGGTATATATGCACCTCTAAACAATCAACCATTTATGATAGAAGTAAACCTAAAAATTTACTTAGATAAAAGCAAAAATAAAACCTAAAAATTTAGTTAGATAAAAGCAAAAATAATACCTCTTCAGTCATGATGTCCCCAACTTTAGTTGACTTGGATGATCTTCCATGTACTATTATCTTCCTTAGATAATCTGAAAGTTATACCATCAAATCGCAGAAATAAACTAACAAGCAGAATTGTACCAGACCACAAAATCCTTCAAAAGCTCTTCTTGATAGTTGAGAAAGGCAAAAATGAAGCAAACTATAATCTTAGCAGAGCCAAAAGAATTTGATGGGCGCTCTAAATTTGGTATATGCAATGCTCAAGAAAAAAGGTAGCATTTGACTGTTTGACATTACAAAAGGAAGGAAGAATTCACACCAAAATAATGGCAATAAATGCATGCAATGGCAAATTTTTAAGGTGTAAGAAACAAATAAACAACAGTGAGATTGAGATGGGACAAGACAAATATCAACATGCTTTAGCTTATAGGTTTTTAAACCTCTTTAATCACACAATCCTTAGTTTTGTCTGATATTCTCCAACTAATAGTATTGCTGGACATATAACAAAGAAGACCTAGCACAGGTAGATTCAGACACTCATGAATACTAAATCCTCCCACAGCCCTGTAGAAACACGAAGAATACTAAATCCTTCATTCAAAATTTCAAACGTCTTGGTGCTGAATTGATTTTATCAAGGTATACTTGTTTAAATACCTCTCTCTGTGATGATACCAGCAATTGATTTCTGCTCCCCAGGTTTTACAACCACCAGAGCACCAACATTGTGTTGAGTCATCTGAAAAGAAATGAACTAATTAAGCATGCATATCAAGTATTCCATGACAAAGTTTTGAGATTATATGAAAATCATAAAGATGCCTACCGACTTCACAGCATTGTACACAGTGTCATCTGTAGTGCACCAAAGCCAGGAGCCATCTGCACCTTTACCTTTTGCTTTCAAAATGTCTGCAATAGTGGTGCTCTCAAATCCATGCTCTTCCATACTAGTAGATGAAACCGATTCGAAGCGGGAATACATAATGGGTCGCATAACTGGATTGACCACCCGAATGTGTTGCAAGAGCGCATTTTTCACAGTGTTTCCACGCAATAAAAAAGCTTGAACTGCTCCTTGCATTCTACCAATTATAATTGATTAGCTACAATTAAGCAGAGACATGGTTGTGGAAGTTACACAACAAAATCATCCAAATCGTCTCATCAATGGATTTGACATGAGAACAATCTAAACTTATGTAAATCTAGAAGCAAATCACCCTTAAGGGGCAGTAAAAGGCATGCTTTACATGTTAGAATGTCGAATACATCCGGCTAACGCAAGATTGTTTAATTTCAGTGGAAAGAGCTAAGGAGCTTTAAATTACTTGATTTCTCATAGACTTGACCTAATCAACAACCTTTCTCTTTCAATAGAAAAGAGAGAGAATCTGACAAAAATGGATATCTCAGCTTAAATAAAAGAAGATCTACCCTGGAAATAATTCACAATTGATATCTATCTGTGTCGAAAGTAAACAATCAAACAGCAATCAAATTTCAATAATCGAATCGGGGTCTAAACCCAAAAGATAAAAATGATAGTTTAAAACGAGGAAGAGAAGGAGGAGGAAGGAATCAACCTGGTAGAAGTCTGCGATTGAAGAGTGGCGAAAACAGTAGCGCCGAGGCAATTAGGCAATAGATACAGAACCCTAGATAAGCACTTGATGCTTTTCCCCCACCGGTTTGTACTACACGATTCCAGACCAAGCTAGCGCTACAAACAGCTTAAAGGAAACTAAGCTGGCAATATAAAATAATATACGGGCATAATATGGAAAATATATATATATATATATATATATGAACATAATATTTTTAAAATATTAATAAAAAATTTAATAAAATTAAAATGTATATAGACAAAAATTATAACATATAATTTTTAAATAAGATACAATATAAATATAAGAATTATTAATATTTTATACTACTTAAATACTCATATTAAAATGAAAGTAAATATAGGGAAATAAAATTTTCCGTTTCAAGTAAATTTCCGTTACAACTGAAAAGGATTTATGACACGATTTCAAATATCCGAATTCCAATATATATAAAATCAAAAAATTAAAAATAAGCATTATTTTAATTATGAGAAAGTATAATTCAAATGTTATAATTTAAAATTGAATTTACAATTTTTTTAAAATATTAACATAATTAAAAATATTAAATATAATACGAGTTATTTTTATTCTTTCATTCTAACAATTAGTGTTAAACTCAATTATAATATAATTAATAAATTTATATAAAAACATAAAAAATTTCAAAGTAAAATAAGGGGAAATTTTGATATTGCGGTTGATGAAAGTTTAATGAAACATGCTTTTGTATCATATCCCATATAGTGATATTTTTTAAAAATTGAATAATGTTTCATTATAAAATTTTGAGATTTACTCCATTTAAAATTAATATTCTGTAAATAATTTTTTCATACTTTTCATATGGACACACATTAGTGCAAGTTTTTCAATAAAAAAGTTATTATGAACTAAAATGTAATCTTATGAATTAAAAGATACACTATGAAAGTGCATAAAAAATAAATTTAAATAATTGTCTTATTTTTTTTTAATTTTAAAAGTCATGAGCCAAGTAAAGACAGAACAAATTAAATAAACAAAGTAATACTCTATTCAAATAAAATAAGTGAGGTATTATATATATATATATATATATATATATACACACCCAAATAATCATAAACAAACATTATAAAAAATAAAATAAGACAAAAAACTTTTTAAAATACACTCATAATTAGATTATAATTTTACATTTACATTAAAAATTACCCGGATATCGATCAATTAAGAATCAAAATTACATTTATAAAAAGAAGAAATTAAGAAGAATAGAAAGAGTAGTCAAGATCAATGAAACTATCACAAACTAACCAAAAACATGAATGATAATAGCTAGGAGAGATTAATGAAAAGAAAAATAAAGGTTCATTGATGTGAGGTTGTACACAAAAGTAAATGTCAAATTTTGAATACTGATGACCGACTTAACTAAATTAAGAGTAATAGCCAATTATATAGTATTTGTCTACCTTAAAGGTTCTCTTCTCACATGCCCCAAATCCATTAAATATGTGTATTATAATGGTGGAAATAAGATATCTACAATTAAATTGATTTTTACCAAATTCAAACCTGAAATTACTCCCCCTACCCTTGAATAGTGAAATGAAAATTTTAATTTGCCTAAACAAAGAAGAAAGAAAATAATGCATATAAAAGTGTTTATATATTTATTATATTAGATTACATTTATACATATAAAAGTTATAATTATTTTTTAAAGTTATGAGTGAATAATTAGGAATTCTTTTAAATTAGTTAACTTGTCAAAGTAATAATATGGTAAATAGCTATTTAATTTTGGTAGCCAATTAATGTAAAGATTTTAGATAATTAATAATAAAATTATCTAAAATTTTTACATTAATTGATGAACACATTATATAGCATTAATTTAGACAGTACATATGTCAAAAAATAAATCATCTACATTGGATTTTTTTTTATTAAAAACTTTGACTTTATATATTTATATAAGAATATAAAATTAATTGAGTTCTTTAAACTAGTCTTTAAGGAGTATAACGGGGATTTAAGGCCAATAGATTACACTTTTGATAAAAACTGAGTTCTAGATTACACTTTTGCTAAAACTAAGTTCTAGATCAGGGTTTATGGATTGCCACTGAAGATGATAACTAAGGACATGGCAAAAAGGATGGGTTCGAAGTTGAGGTATTGAATGGAGTGGATAACAATAGTAGGTACTCAAAATGAGGAATATTCCTCATGATACAAGTGGAAATTGACATAGCAAAGCCTTAGAGGAGGTGTATTTTCGAAATTGCTAGAAGCAACAAACGAAAAGGTCTAAGGGAGTGGTTGAGGTATGAACGCCTCCCAAGCTTTTGTTATGTATGTGGGAAGTTGAGACATACAGAATTAGAGTGTGGTTTGGAAGCAGAGTCAAGAAGAGAGGGAAAGGATAAGTTGAGAGCTTCACAAATAAATAAAAAAAAAAAAGAAGCATGGCCAACATGACCAGACACCAAAATAAAGCATGAAACCAAACAATGAAGAAATTAAGAGGAATGGCATGGCTAGTAATAGTTGTAGACATCTAATTTTGTCCAAGTAAAATCTGATTATTTGTGAAGCTCTTAAAATTTGACCTAGTCTAAATCCACCATTTTTTTTTATTTTGATAAGTTTTAAAATTAAAATTAGGACCAATTTAACTTAAATACCTCAAGGTCAAACTCGATCAAACTTAGTCAACTAAAGTCAAACTTAATCAAAATTGATGAAAATCGATCAAAATCGAATAGAACTCGAGTCAACTCTCAAAATTAACGACCAAATGGGATTAATTAACTTGGGAATGATATTTGTGATTTTAAAGTACTAAAAACTTTGATTGCACTTAAGGAAGAATAAAATTATCGAAATGCCTTTTAGAGATATTTTCATAATTTGGCCTTATCGAAGTCGGATTTCATAAAAACTTTCAAAATATGATTTGATATTATTTAATAATTTTTGGTGCATCCAAAACTCTGATTGCACATTACGAAATACCCTTCGGGTAATTTTTATAAATTGACCTTTTTGAGGTCAAATTTTTGTGAAAAGCTCCATATCATGATTTAATATTATTTGATGATTTTTGGTTTATTGAAAACCTTGATCATACATCGAAATGTGTGAATCACTAAAATACCCTTTAGAGGCATTTTGTAATTTAATCTTTTCAAGGTTGGTTTTTCGCAAAATGTTCCAAATCATGTTTTAAAATTATTCTATATTTTTTGGAGTGTTAAAAACTTTTGCAGTACCTCGGGAAGTGTGAAATTACAAAAATACCTCTTAGGGATAATTTCATAATTTGACTTTTCTGCAGTTGGATTTTCATAAAAACTTTTGGATCTTAGTTTTATATTATTTTACGATTTTTGGTGTTTTAAAATCACAAAAATGAATTGAGCATTGTTTTCCAAGAAAATGGCCTAGAAACCGAAAACTTTCTAATTGGGTTAAATGGTTTTTTCACTTGGTTCTAGCAATATTGAAAATCCAATATTTGGCAATAAGCATTTTTAACCATGGGATAATCTTGAAAGGCTAGATGTAATGGTGAAAGTTGGCTCCTTGCAAAGAAAACAAGGGATAAATTTTGACCATTAAATGAAAAATAATTCAAAGGCTTGCATGTATTAAGAGAAAGATATTTTTTCTCATAAAAAGGGTTGGGAATTCAGAGGTTGAAATAAGGAGCAGCTGGAATTCACAAAAAAATAGTGGAGCAAATAAAGAAAAATAAAAAATTTTGGAGAGCTTTCTTAGAGGTATAGTTTCTAGTTTCCTTTCATGCATTTCATAGCATTATCATTACATTTTCATATATTTTTTTGTTTTTTCTTGAGAAAACTCAATCAACTAATCCATAGATTGATTTGAGACAAAAGATTAAAGAAAACAACAAACAAATCTACCATTAAATTTTCCAAGAATAAATTAGTTTAATAGGTTGTTTAGTGATATTTGTGTTTATTTGTTTGAATTTCGAAAAAAAAAAAGGTGGAACAAGTCTTGAAAGTTTACAAATTTTAGTGTTTAATCCATTTACATCATGTTTTCCACATGCACATTTAGTTTGTAATAGAGTTTTTAAATGCTTAGACTTGTAATTAGTTTGTTCTTTAGTCATGCATTTTTCATGCATCAATATTTACATTTTTACTAATGACATTTGTGTTATTTGTCATATGCATCAATATTTACATTTCTACCAATGGTATTTTTTTTATTTTCTTTTTTATCATATACATTTCTCGTGAAACTCTAAACTACCCACCAAACCTTAAACCACCCATGAAACCCTAAACTAAACCCTAAACCAAACGCTAAACCCTAAACCAAACCCCAAACCGTAAACCCCAAACCGTAAACCTTAATCCCAAATGTTAAAATAAACTTTAACATTAAACCATAAACTCTAAACCCTAAACCTTAAGCAAATCCTAAAACCCTAACCTAGTTCATAACTAACTATAAACCCTAAACAAACCCCAAACCCTAACCTAGATCCAAACCTTACATGAATCCCTAAACCCTAACCTAGACCCTAAACTTACCCCAAACCTTAAAAAGCTGAAGCAATCGTCAAACCCAAAAACCTATCTTTGATCCTTTTCATGCATTTGCATTTCCTTTTACTTTATTGTTACATGCATTTTAAATTATCACATTTATACTTGTCATTCATTTTCAATCATCATGCATTTATATTATTATTATGTTCATGCATACATGCATTGGTTTTATAAATAAAGTTTTTCAAAGAAAAATATTTAAAAATAAGATGACATATCAAGTAAAAAATAGTCTTTGAGATCTAGCTTAAATATAGAAGGACTCTCGATGACTATCATTTATATGAGGTGTTATCTCGATTTATAGGGTAATCTAAAAATCCTTAAGTTAAAGATGCTTTTAAAGCTCTGCCTAAATATATGAGAGTGAAAAAAATATCTTGATATTTAAGACATTTTTATCTTAATCCAAAAAAAAAAAAGCTCTATTTCCAAAAGAAAAAGTTGATTTGTTTTCAAAAGAAAAGAAAATTTTTCAAGTTTTGCAAAGGAAAAGAATTAATTTCTATACATTAGAATAGGACCATCTACATCATAATCTAAGGATAACTTGCAATCATTTGGTACCATCTTCA